TCATTTACAGAGCCATGCTATAGAAGAGAAGCCAAGATGGCACCGAAAGACTAAAAACAGCAGGAGCCTAGCAATGATGGAAGACAGAAAAAACCACCACCAGAGATGAGGGTCCCATTCTGACTGAAGAAATACCTGGTAGATATAAGGAACCAAGGAACTTTTTTTTTAAAGGTTTTAAAGTGTTTGAGAATAGAATTGGCAAGCTTGGGAAGGCATGCTTCTGGAAGAAAGAGGTGACTTAGAGGGAAAGTACCCCTTGAGGGCCCAGTGATAAAGAGAAAGAAGGAAGCAAGCAGTGAAAATTAAGACTCCACAGAAATGAAAGAGAAGGCCGGCAGGGTAGCTCCCGCCTATAATCTTAGCACTTTGGGAGGCCGGAGGCAGAAGGATTGCTTGAGGATAGGAGTTCAAGACCAGCCTGAGCAAGAGCAAGACCCTGTCTCTACAAAAAATAGAAAAATTAGCCAGGCATAGTGGCAGGGGCCTGCAGTCCCAGCTACTTGGGAGGCTGAGGCAGAAGGATCGCTGGAGCCCAGTACTATGAGGTTGCAGTGAGCTATGATGACCGACCCCACTGTACTGTAGACTAGGTAACAGAGTGAGACCCTGTCTCAAAAAAGAAATAAAAGGAATGAAAGAGAATCACAAAATCATGTGCTCTGTCCCCTAAAATAGGGCCGCTAGCTGGGGGAAAAATGCATTTTGTTCTGCCAAAGAGAGGGCACTCAAACTAAGAAACCTGGGAACACACCCAAACTCCTGCCTGAACCGCAATTGCTAAAACTGAAAAATAAAATATTTCAAAATGCACAGAAAATGACAGACCTATCCTTCTGGAGTATATTCATAATAAGAAAAAGAAAAAATGACAGATATAAGATTATATAAAGAAAACTAAAAATGAAAATCAATATTTTTTAAAAACTAGACATGAAATAAGAAAACTAAAACACCCCAACCTAAGTCAAATAACCTCAGTTATTTGGTAACATGAAAAAATACTGAGTCAGAAAAATAACTCAGAACAGAAATGGGCAAAGAACAAAGAGTAAGAAATGTTTGTCAGCTTGGCTCAGTGGCTCACGCCTGTAATCCTAGCATTCTGGGAGGCTGAGGCAAGAGGATGGCTTGAGGTCAAGAGCTCAAGACCAGCCTGAGCAAGAGCAAGATCCTTGTCTATACTTAAAAATAGAAAATATTAGCCAGGCATAGTGGCAGGGGCCTCCAGTCCCAGCTACTTGGGAGGCTGAGGCAGAAAAATTGCTTGAGCCCAGGAGTCTGAGGTTCTGTGAGCTAGGCTGATGCCACAACACTCTAACCCCAGTGACAGAGCAAGACTCTGTCTCAAAAAAAAAAAAAAAGTTTGTCAAACTCAGGAGATATTGAGGAAAAACACAAGTCCTCTCAGAAAGAAAAAAGGTACTAAATTATAAGATGTACAAAGGGGAAGAGATTTTACTTAAAATATAATAACTAGTATTGAGGAATTAAAATAACCAAGAAAATAAAAATCAAATGAAGAAAGCAGTAAGAAGCATCAGAGAGAAAATACTAGATATAGAGGCAAAGATGCAACATATATTGTAGTCCCTGCAGAAGAATAAAATAATAGATGTAATATTCAAAACTATAGAAAGTCAGTCTGGGTGTCTCTCACTTTGTAATGCCAGTATTTTGTTAGAGTTAGAGACCAGCCTGGGCAATACAGACAGACTCTGTGTCTACTAAAATAATTAGCCAGGCCAGGAGTTCCAGGCTACAGTGAGCTATGATGGTGCCACTGCACTCCAACCTAGACAACAGATTAAGACATTGTCTCTACAAAGTTTTAAAAAAAAAATTAAAGAGAAAAAAACCTCAAAACAATAATATAAGAAAACTTTCTGGAAATAAAACTTGGGTCTACACATCTAAAGGGTCTTCCATGAATCTAGGAAAATGTCTATGGAATGGTCAACTCTGAGGAATATCTTAGAAAATCAATTAGATTTGAAAAAAAAATCCTCTAGGCCTCAAGCAAAAAGGACATTAGAAAAGATGCAAGTATACAGGTAACTATTGGAACAAAAACATAAACACTAAAACATTAAACACTGACAGTAATTGTAAAAGAGTTTTGTTTTTTGTTTTTAAGCATGTCCTTACTTTCTAGTACAAGATGCTCTTGGTTCATTTCTGTATTTCCTGCCCCAGCACTAGAATCAGTTATTTCCCCCAAAGAGCCCCCACTCCTGGAAATTCTGCAGAAAACAGGCTGTGCCTGGGGAGCTGCAACAGGACTGTAGTGCACCAGTGTGTGGCGTCTGGAACCACGCCGGCCCCCGGCAAGGGGGTTTAAAGCGTATGCTTCATCAAAGGAACCACTGAGCTAGAGCCAGTTCGGATCCTGCTTCCAGATTATATTTCCTTGAGTGGTGAGAAACACATGCTTCACAAGAGCCAAAATGTGACTGTTCCAGCATGACACAGCATCCAAGACGGTCTAATCCGCCTTCACCTCCAATTGGAAAGTGCCCATCTGCAGACACAGAACAGTGAGGATGCTCAGGGTTCCCCTACCTACCCTGGTAGCTCTTCTGCAGTTGTGTCCTGGCTTATTTTCTCCTACTCAGCAGTCATATAGTTCACAAGTCTCTGGACACTACCTTCCACAGTCAAGGTCACTTTCTGATCAAATCAACTTTCACAGCTAGTGCCTGGGTCAGGGGAGTGGAATCTTTATGAGGTGCAAATTGTATGTCACACCTTATCTAGGGACTTTGCTGCTATACCAGATAAACCCAATAGCTCCTCCCCTAGGTGTTATATGTCTAGTATTACTTGCTATTTTAAAGAATTATTTCAATGTTAAATGCCGTATATATTCCTTTTATGTACACTGTAAACAGCTAAGCTTTGTCTTCTCCAAATTCCTACTTTTCTCCAGTTAACCTGTTAATATTCCAGTGTGCACCCTTCCAGTCCTTTTCCTCAATCTGCATATGTAACTGTACAATTTTTTTTTTTTTTTGGCTTGCTGGGAACCTGGTTGTTGGATATTCTGTGTACTTAATAGTCTATCTTGAAGATCCTTCCTGTCAAGTATGTACAGATCTAATTCACATATATTGTAATGGCTACATCAATGTATAAATGTTCTAGTTTTACGTTTCAGTAGCATAAACATGCAGTAAGCATCCATGTACAAATATGTACACATATACAGGTATGTTTTTAGGATAGATGCTTCCAAGTAGATTTGCTGGATTGAATAGTCTGCACATTTAAATTTGGAGGGGGTTATGGGAGAAATACAAAAGTCCCTGAGGGTGCACTAAGGCAAAAGGATCATCTTTTGTTCTGTAAGTACTTTAAAAGGCAATTCCACCAGAATGTAAATTCCATGACATCTAGGACCTTGACGCCTTGCCCCAGGGAATACTACCAGTGCTTACAGCAACTCACCTTCTAAAAGCACTCAGTAAGTGAACACACACAGGCTAGTCACAGGAATACTCCTTAACTGCAATGCTAACTTTCCATGGGTTTTAGACCTCAAACATCAAAGAAGCTTCTGAGACTTCAGAGTCTGGAATTGTTCTAGGCTCCTGAATTTCCATTCCATCTCCTTCCAAGCCACCACCTTGAGCACCTCCAAATATCCATTACCTAGACAGGTCCCTTTGAGACTCAAACCACATAACAGTCCCAAGAGTCTGGAGAAACTGGAATTGAGAATTGCTCTTTAGTGGAGGTGACCAGAGGTAAGATCCCACTGGACCAAAGAGAGAAATCATTTGAAGTTAATTTGAATTAGACGGTTTCCTGAAGAATGAATATTGAACCATGGAAGGAATTCACCTCAACAAAACCTTCTCCAGCCTGCCCTGAAAAAGGTAACAAAAAGACCCAGTAAACTAGGACAGACTCTTACCCAAAGACCTGGAGTGCACATAATCCTACCAAAGATAGCACCCACTAATCTTCCCCCAATTAGACAACAAATGCTGTACCTAAAACTTTGAGCCAGGCCTTGAGCCAATCAATGAAGACATATTCACATAGTAGTCCCAGTAGAAAAGATTCAGCATCAGAAATTAATTAGGTAAAAGGCATGCCTGAATGCAAGGGAATTTTGTATAAAAGTCCAAAGGGAAGTACATGGTGATTTGTGGGACCCACAGTGGTTCGGATGCTATAGAAAGGTGTAAGGAACTAGATGGGGTAGAGAAAGAAAAAAACCATGTGGTGGCAGCCTTGTTAACCCAAAAAGATCCTTTTTCTCAGGGTGTAGAACCAGCAAATATAGTTAGAGAATTCATCTGCTTCAAGTTTACATGACTGTAGTTCTTTGCGTATGTGTGAGACTATTTTCCCCCCCCTCTGCAAGCCCTGGACCTGGCACAGTACCCGATCCAGGGGATATTAAAGTTTTGTGATTCATTTTTAGTCAACCAGTCTGTGCTGTCCCATTCTCAAGTTAAGCTAAGGTAGGGAAGGCAGCTGCTTCTCAGTGGTTCTTAATGGGGTAGAGGGATTTTGCGCCCTTCCAGGGGACATACACATTTTTATTTGTCATAACTGTGGAAGAGAGTGCTACTTGCATCTGGTAGGTAGAGGCCAGGGACGTTGCTAAACATCCTACAATGCACAGCACTGCCACCCACAACAAAGAATTATCTAGCCCACAATGTCAACAGTGCCATGAATGAGTAACCCTGTGCCTAGCCCAACTATAAACAGTAAGAAAAACACTAAATTCAATCTTGAGCTCTGCTATTCCCAAAACAGAAGATCAAAGGAGGCTAAAATTATAGAAAAAGTTTTGTCCAGACTCCTCTGGACAGAGCCCATATCAGAGGATAACACAACTCATGCTAAAGGAACCCAGGCAAAAATTAAATTGAGTGACAGTGATCAAATGAAAGGAAAAAAAAAAAACACTCTATATGAAAATCCTCAGTGTGAGAAGGAAAAATAAATATGCATAAGGAAGAATATGGAATGTTCCCACCAAATGTGAAACAGGCCCAGCCAATGCCATTTATTATACACGCTGAACAGCCTCTAAGACCCGAGGGCTCCCACAGTGAGGTTTTGGTTTTTTTTTTTTCATTTTCTTTTTTGCATCAAACAGATTCTTCCAAGAGCCTGCTCACAAGGAAGACAAAAACAGAGAAATCCTCAGTAAAATGAAACAAACAGAAGCTGAAACAATCTACATCTGAACAATGTTAAAAAAAAAAACTTATCAGACATAAACCACACCAAACACTCATCCCATTTAATTTCCTGTTACATGCTCTGAGGAAGCCAAGAACATCAGGCCCAGGCCAGCAATGCTCTGAGCTCAGGCCCCCTCTATGTGACAGATTCATGCACACACACCCACACATACATTGACCCAGGCAGAAGTACACATGCATGCACAAGTGGCTAGAGAACCACAGGGCCAGATGGGAGGAGGGGGCTGGTCAAGGATATGCCACCAACTGCAAACTGGGAACCCAGAGATCGCTTCTGTTGCAGGCTGAACAAAAGTTTTGAAAATTTAAAAAAAGGCAGAACACAGGATAAAGGTAGGATGCTCAGACAAGAGGTTGGATAGATGAAGAGGGAAAGATGCAGGAGTTTCGGGGAAGCAGCCTCAGAAGGGGAGGTTTTTCTTTATTGGGAACTCAGATAGGCAGAGGTCCTGTGACTCCAGTGATATATACTGAGGCTGAAGGAATGTGCCACAGCATTACCTTTGTATCCTGTGTCCTCTGAAGGTAGAGGGAAACCAAATACCCACCCTCTAGTCCTCCCCATTGACACTCTTAAGGACTTTCCCCAGTACCCAAAAAGAAATGAACTCCCCCCACACACACGCACATAGTCAGGTCCAGCATAGGCCAAAGTTAGGCCAAGCATAGAAAGCCTCAGTAACTCTTCTTGGTGGAACCAAAGCCTGAGAAACCCATCACAGCTGCCATCTCATCATCCTCCTCAAATGTCAAGTCCTCCTCAGCTCTCCTTTTCTTCTCCTTCTGTTTTTCTTTCTTGTACGCTTTGGCCTTTTCCTCCTAGAGGGGAAAATCACTCAGAATCAGTTTAGACTCTTCAGCCAAATGTTGAAAGAGACATGTGAACTTCAAGATTCCTTTCTATCTTTAGGAAAATGTTGTTAAACACAAGTAAAGGCCGGGTGTGGTGGCTCACACCTAGCACTCTGGGAGGCCGAGGCCGACAGATCACTCAAGGTCAGGAGTTTGAAACCAGCCTGAGCAAGAGCGAGACCCCATCTCTACTAAAAATAGTAAGAAATTAATGGGACAACTAAAAATATATAGAAAAAATTAGCCAGGCATGGTGGCACATGCCTATAGCCCCAGCTACTCGGGAGGCTGAGGCAGATGGATTGCTTAAACCCATGAGTTTAAGGTTGCTGTGAGCTAGGCTGATGCCATGGCACTCTAGCCAGGGCAACAGAGTGAGACTCTGTCTCCAAAAAAAAAAAAGAACCACAAGTGAAAATCTCAATAGCAAAGCAAAAGCCACAGTAAAGATTATGAAGGATAAGAAAGAAGTTTTAGCCTCTAGAGAGAATTTCTCAATCCTACACCCTAGTTCATTTCTATTTCTTAAGAGAATTATGGGAGCAAAACTATGTAATAACAACAAACATTCTGAGGCATGTAGTACACACCAGGAACTGTTCTGAGTACTTTGTATCTAATATACTGAGATCTCCTCCAATATGGGGAAACTGAGGCACAGGGAGGTTATATAACATGCCAAAGGTAGTAAGTGGAGGAAACAGAATTCTGATCAAGTCAGCCTGGTTCCACAGGCCTCTTGGGAACTAGGTCTATGTAATCTTTCCTGTAGTTTGTTTTTTTAAAAAAAAAAAGGGGTTGGGCCGGGCGCGGTGGCTCACGCCTGTAATCCTAGCACTCTGGGAGGCCGAGGCAGGCGGATTGCTCAAGGTCAGGAGTTCAAAACCAGCCTGAGCAAGACCCCGTCTCTACTATAAAAATAGAAAGAAATCAATTGGCCAACTAATATATATAATATAAAAATCAGCCGGGCATGGTGGCGCATGCCTGTAGTCCCAGCAACTCGGGAGGCTGAGGCAGGAGGATCGCTTGAGCCCAGGAGTTTGAGGTTGCTGTGAGCTAGGCTGACGCCACGGCACTCACTCTAGCCTAGGCAAGAAAGCGAGACTCTGTCTCAAAAAAAAAAATAAAAAAAAATAAAAAAATAAGTCTTAAAAAATTAAAAAGAATGCATATATTCCCAACTGATGATCTGACTTACGATAGTAAACTTTATAATGGTCTAAAAGTAATAAGCATTCAATAGGAACTGTACTTGGAGTACCCATAAAACCATTCTGTTTTTTTCACTTTTAGTAGTCGATAAATTACATGAGATATCCAACACTATTATAAAATAGGCTTTGTGTTAGATAATTTTGCCCAACTGTAGGCAAATATGTTCTGAGCACATTTAAGGTAGGCTAGGCTAAACTATGATGTTTGGTACGTTAAGTGTATTAAATACATTTCAACTTATGATAAGTTTATCAGGATATAACCCCATCATAAATCAAGTAGCATCTATAATTACCAAAAAAAAGTATGGCTCAGGGAGTCCAGCAGACAAGGGTAGGTTTAGAGCCATGTCCTTCATAACATGAGAATCCCAAACAAAACCAATAAATGAGATACAACTCTGGGGGTAGGAATGGGATGAAGAAGAGGGCCTCTCATGATTCATAACCTAAAATTCAAAGCTGATCAGGGGACGGACAGAAAAGCCTTACCTCTTCTCTGAGCTCCTTCATCCTTTCCTCAAAATCATAATCCTTCTGTTTCTCTTCCATCTTCTTCTTGTTGACCTCAAAGCGTTTCTTCACCTGATCCAGTGTGGAACGTTCCACACGCATAGACATACCCAAGTTTCGCTGATCTGGGTAGGGTCAACAGTGAAGAAGGCAAGGTCATTACAACATCCTCAAACCCTCAAAAAGACTTTTCCTGACTTCTTAAAAAAAAGAAAAAGAAAAATTATCTCTCACCCACAGCAAAAATAATTATAGCTAAAAGAAACTCCCTTGACCTCACCTGTTCCCAAAAGCAGCAGCCCTAGATAACAGGATGCAAATAGTTTCCAACTGCCCTTACTGAGCAGATGAGCACCTGTGGGGCCAACTGGGTCCAGGAAGAACATGGTTTGAACTTTTTGAGAGCCTAGAACAGTATCTTACGTCACGGCCAGAAATATTAGATAATGAAGTAAAGGATGGCCTGCGCTAAAGCAAATGGAGAGTTCCACAGGTATGAAAAAAGGCCCAACAACCTTCTCCACCCACCTCTAAAACCCAATCCCAGTCCCAGTCCCAAACTACCTCCAAGCCTTACGTTTCTTTCCATTAATGTGATCCAGGAAGTTGATGGAGTCCTTCACCACACAGTCACAGACATTACAGTAATATCTAACAAACAGGAAGAAACAGCACATGGGTCAAATTTAGTTTTAAGGATCTTCCTTCTTAGAAGTGTTAAGCCTTCATTTCCATGAAGCCTTAGCTTTCAGGAGAGTGCAATAGCCATCCTCTAAGCCCCAGCATGAACCCTACCCTCCCAGTATTCCTACCCTGTGTAGTCTCCTCCCAATTTGTACAAAGATTGGTCTGTGTGACCAACAGAATATGTCAAAAAATGATGGTATGTTGGCTGGTCAAGGTGGCTCATGCCTGTAATCTTAGCACTCTGGGAGGCCAAGGTGGGCAGATCGTTTGAGGTCAGGAGTTCGAAACCAGCCTGAGCAAGAGCAAGACCCCGTCTCTACTAAAAATATTAAGAAATTAATTGGCCAACTAAAAACATATAGAAAAAATTAGCCAGGCATGGTGGCACATGCCTATAGCCCCAGCTACTCGGTAGGCTAAGGCAATAGGATTGCTTGAGCCCAGGAGTTTGAGGTTGCTGTGAGCTAGGCTGATACCACAGCACTCTAGCCCAGGCAATAGAGTGGGACTCTATCTCAAAAAAGGCCCCAGGAGCAGCTGACCCTAGAGCCATATGAAAGAGACCATTCCGTGGTCGTGGGTGTGTACAGGCCACCCCCCAAGGTAAAGAACTGAAGCCCAGTGCCGTCTGGATTTTGCTGTCTTTGTAAGGATCACTTGCTCTGGGGAAGCCAGTTGCTTTGTTGTGAGAGACCTTACACAGAGGCCCATGAAGCAAAGAACTTAGGCCTCCAAACCATAGGCATGTGAGAAGGCTTAGAAGCAGATCTTCCAGCCCCACTTAAGACACAAAAGAATGCAGACCTACTTATCTGACTCCTTGACTGCAGGTTCATGAGAGATCCTGAGCCAGAACCACCTAGGGAAGCCATTCCCAAATTCCTTACCTAAAGAAACTATGGACTATATGTTGTTTGTTTATGCTGCTCAACTTTGGATTAATTTGTTAACTTACACAGCAATGATTGGGAGAAATGACAACAATGGATTTATTAAGCACCTCAGAGAACTTTCACTCATTACTTACTATCTGTGTTGCCTTCCTGCCAGAAAACCTAACTGGACAAAAGAGTAGTGGTGGGCAAAAAGGTGATGAGCTCTTGTGGGACCTTTCTTTTCTATAGTTTTGGCCTGGGAAAAAGGCACACAACCAGGCAATCCATAATTCTTGCAGCTAGCCTGGAACCTCAATCCCCTCTCTTCATCAACAACTCTTAGTCTCCATTCTAGCTCTACCTAATTTCTCCCTCAGAAATCTCATTAGTCCCTTCCTTCATTTCTTCCTCTGATAGAACAAATCATCTCTTGTAAAATGTTAAGTAGTAGTTGCAGTGCTAATATGAAAAAGCCCACAAAGTGAACACTCCTAGAGACACTATCTTGTTAACTTGAGACTACGGGAGACAGAAAAAAAAAAACCTTAGAATTATAGGCAAGAAGAATCAAATCCTGGGGCCTGGGACTCTCCCTTAACACTTCCAAAAACCTACACAGGTAGTTTACTAGACCCACTCTTGGCTACAGAGAAAGATGAAAAGCCACTCACCCTCCCATCTCAGACTGTGGGGTGGTCTTGGTAATGACAATTGTCTTCCCAAGCTTGGATTCCAGGTCCACCTTATAGTCCCTGTGCCGCAGAAGCTCTCGCTTGACCGGCTGCACTGGTTTTCCTGAAATATAATGGAGATAGAAGTCCCTTTAATATTACAGTCCCTCTTAGCACATCCAATGCAAAAAAAAAAAAATACTAAAAAAAATTACAGTTCCTCAACCAAAAAGGGAAAAATGCATGAAACCCAAAATTTAGGTCTACTCTCATTTATTTTTTTATTCCTAAGCAAAGGAACACAACAGATACTTAAAGCAGCAGATAGGGAGAATCTCAACACAGGAAAAAAATAAGCCAGCTCCAAGCCAGCCCCTCTATAGCTTTTCTCCACTTTAAAGCCAGCAATTCTAAAAGCAATGCTTTCTGTTTACTGATTAACTGAATGGAAAGGAGAAGTTCTGAATTTTTACTAGAAGCAACCTTTTCAAAAGAGGAGCAAGGACACTCCAATAATGCTTTCAGGCAGATATCCTAAGCATGACACAGAAAAACACCTGAGAGCTGGGTCAAATTTTTCAAAAAAGGGGACCAACATATACCTGTTACATGTCAAGAACTATTTATTATTCATATTACATATAAACTAAAAGGGTTAGTGTGTGTGAGCTGGCATGTAAAAGGAAAGAAGAATATACAAGTTTGAAACAGATGACAAAATAAGACTTTTCCTAAAAAGTAATCCCTATATAGGAGAGGAGCGCTAGCTTCCTATCACTGTACAAGGCACGCAGAAACAGCACTACTTAGTACAAGCTGAAACAATCACTTCCTGGGAAATACCCCTGCTTAGACTATATGAGAGGTTTTTGACTGGGCCAGGAACGCTTTCTCCTTTAAGGAATTTCAAGGTAAAAAGTGGGGTCATCGATAGCAGCAATGAACAGCAGCAAAATACTCCACCTAACTTCTTCTCTGTCACTACTAAAGATTCTGCTCTCCTCTCTGTACTTCAAGAGAAGATTAAATGAGCCAAGTAAAGGGAAGACAAGGAAGCAGAGGATAAAAGAACTGAAGAGCACCTCAAAACCACTTCAGTTCACCTCCTCGCTCTCATTTTATACATGTAGAAACCAAGGACCAGGGAGGCAACACTCTGACAGAGTTACACTGGATAGGAGGGCAGCGCATTTCAACTCTCCACCCTCTCCCCACTCATTGCATCACTTCTAAAATACCCTTAACCCTAGATGGAGTAAGGACTCACCATCTTTCTTTTCTCTCTCTTCCGTGAGCCTCTTCTCGGCGAGTTTCTCGTATTCATCTTTGTCCCACTTTCGGCGAAAGTCCAAGTTTTTTGTCTGTGGGGGGGAAAAAAAGCGCTCAAGATCCGTCGCCAATCGTGTCCGGACCCCTACACAAATTGAGGGAACCGCGTCCTCGCCTCCAAGGCGGCTCCAGGACCCTCCGAAAGAGAAGCCTCTCTGAACCCTCTCTGAACCGCACTAGGAGGCTGAGGTAGCCTCAGGAACCCAACCTGAGAGACCTCCGCGACTCCACTGACCCTGTTCCAGGGCCTTACGGGGGAGTTCTCGAATCCAGAACCTGGGATCTCGAGGAAGCGTCGGGAAGCCAGTCTGGTGCAGGAGTTTGTCTCTATTCAGCGTTGAGAAGCCACCTCCCACCCTCAAACCACCTCCTCTTCACACATACAACACCTACCCCGCTGCCCGACGCCATCTTTACAGCGAAGTGAATGGCAAGGCGGAAAATGCCGTAAAAAGCGGCCTGGTGCCGTAAGGCAAGATGGCTCTCCAGTAAGCTTAGAGTCTCGTGTTCTAACAGAGCTAAAAGACTGGAGGACTTTCTAAAACGTTTGTTGGCCCCGCCTCCGTTCCTAGGAGATGGCGCAGGCGCAAGGGGAATATGAAGCAACACGGAAGTAAGGGCGCCTGCAAACGTTTCTTTCTTTCGGCTTTCAAAACAAGCATTGAAGGGCGGGCGGGCAGACAGATTAAGTTGAACTGTGTAACGCACCAGGAAACCGATGTTCGGAAACAGTGGGCTCCGATCTAGTCTAATCAACCTTGCTTGCATTTCTAAACTTTTAAGACTGAAGTGCTGCTATTAAGGGCTCTAAATGGCCCCCCTTCACCAGCATGCACTGGCGATATGTCCCTAAGCTACGCTAAAGTGTTTCCAATGCACATATAGAAAGCACGTTTTGCACTTGGGCTCTTTTCCTTGAAGCAATGCTATCGCCCTTTGGTTAACTCATTATTCCATCAACTGGGGAACATTAGAGTCATTCAATCGGTAGGGTACAATTTAATCAATGTGATTAGACTTGGGAAGGCCAGTCATCAGTAACACTCTAGAGTAGAGATCCCCAATCTATGGTGAGTTGTATAATTATTTCATTACATATTACAGTGTAATAATAATAGAAACAAAGTGCACAATAAATGTGATGCGTTCGAATCATCCCTAAACCATTCCCCCCTCGCTGGTCCATGGAAAAATTGTCTTCCATGAAAATGGTCCCTGGTGCCAAAAAGATTGGGGGCAGCTGCTCTAGAGTGAAGTACTCCAGCATAAGACTCACTGTTGATTCTTAGTGATATAACTGTTATTTCCAAGTTGAGGAAAGGAGGGAAAGAAGGAAGAATGTGGCTGCTCCCTTCACTGAAGTATCACCCCAGGAAGGTTACTCCTAGCTCACAGAATTATCCAGTGTGCACTCAAGAATTTCCTATGGTCTATGCAAACCAACCCCTTGATAACAAATTACCCAAACTACTACACTTAATATTTTATTTAACATATTATCAACCACTTCTAGAACAGTATCCATGGCATGGAATAGTCAGAGCTGTGATTCTGGCACAGGAAATGGTCTCCAAACTCTCAAAAGATCATTTCTCTGCCTTGTCAAGTCACCTGTTAAGTTCAATGTTCAAGATTATTAAACAGATAGCTCCACTCTGCTATCTGTTAGCAGTGGATGGCCCTAGAGAGATGCCAAATCAATATGGGTACTGCCACACCCTTGGGATAGCATCTCTGTCCTCAAACAAAGCAGAAAGCAGCCATTGCCCCTCCTTGTTCTCTTCCCAAAACTCCCTGGATAGGCCAATAGCTGGTTGTGGACAAATTCTCCAGAATCTGGTTGTGAAGTTGCAGCAGAAGGCTAAGTTCCGGCTTCTGATCTCAACAGTTCAGAATCATCAGCCTGAGGTAAGTCTCCCAGAGCCTTGCTCATAGCAACCATCTCAGCACTTCTTGACAGCATTCAGTGGCACTTCAAATTTGCCTCTGCAGCTACAGCATGTCTCTTTCACATATCAGCCATCTGCACCCATGCAGAATAGCTGCTTACACTAGCCCAGGAGTCTTCAGAGCCTTGTACAGTTCCGTACCCAGGAAGGATGGAGGAGGCAGAAGATCCTTGTCACCCATCCTGACCAGCTGTTGTAAAGTCCATCAGAAACTCAGCACTTGAGGAAACCTTTTCTACAAAGAGCCACAGAGGCAATCGGGAAAGGATCAAGACTCAGATAGTCGCTTCTGAATTTCAGCCACAAGATTTTCACGTTTAATGGCCACCTGAAACATAAAAGAATCTTCATGTGACAAAGTAGAAAGTGATACTAGCTCCTTAGTCACTGTTTTTTCAGATTCACTTTACTCTGCATCCACTTCCACTATTTAGGCAACCAATATGAAGTAGTGTGAGCTTCAATCTGACCTGGAGAATGTATACACTCAAGAATAAAAAAATTGGCCGGGCGAGGTGGCTCACGCCTGTAATCCTAGCTCTCTGGGAGGCCGAGGTGGGCGGATTGCTCAAGGTCAGGAGTTCGAAACCAGCCTGAGCAAGAGCGAGACCCCGTCTCTACTATAAATAGAAAGAAATTAATTGGCCAACTAATATATATATAGAAAAAATTAGCCGGGCATAGTGGCGCATGCCTGTAGTCCCAGCTACTCAGGAGGCTGAGGCAGCAGGATTGCTTGAGTCCAGGAGTTTGAGGTTGCTGTGAGCTAGGCTGACGCCATGGCACTCACTCTAGCCTGGGCAAAAAAAAAAAAAAAAAAAAAAAAGAATAAAAAAATTCAAACACCTGATCTATGTCAGTTTTGTTGATTAGTCTTAAATCACCCATTCAGATTTCATTTGTCTTTCTTCTGCCCACTCAGCCAATGTTCACGGGCTACAGTGGTTGTTTGGGGGTGGATCTGCATTCATCTCTATCACTGTTAACCCTGATGATATTTCCTCAGCCAGAAGATGCATATTTCTTAAGGAATCTGGGAAAAATATAAATACTTGGTCCCTTCTATTTCTGCTGCCCCCACTCACCTCCTCTCTGCTGGCCACTGAACGGAGCTTGATAACCCCTTCCTTCAGTTCTTGCTCACCAATAATGACCGCCAGGGGAATGCCCATGTTCTCACAATAATGCAGTTGGGTTAATAATTTAGGGTTGTTCTTGTATAGCATCTCTGCCTGAAAAAAGTAAAGGACTTAGAAGTGACCACAGCACACAAACCCCAGGAATAAGTATTTTCAAAGAAGCCAGAAATAAGTGGCTAGCCCTCCTACCATAATCAGCCACTCTAGTAGTTAGACTAAAAAGGTATTGAGTTCCACCCTAGGCATAAGTTAGAAATGAAACTGGCTCCTGAATTACCAGATGACTCAGATATCAGCTCCACCATACCTTGATCCCCGCATCCCAAAGCTCTGCAATTAGCTTCAACCGTTCTTGTAGAAAGTTCTTCTGTGGTGTGGCCACAAACACTTGGGTCTCTGATGTCCGTATCCTCTCACCTAAAGTCTGATAAAAGAGTAAGTAGAGAGAAAAACTAATAAAAACTTCCTTTGCATCGACAACTCAAAAAAACAATACAAAAACAATCATCAGAAAAATAGTGCAACTGCACCTTTAGAAACAGGAAGGCTTTTAGGCCTCCTGTTCTACCTCACTCCTACCTAAGACCTACCTTCATCCTCTGCTCCACAATGGAGAATATTCGCTCTACCCCAATGCTGAGCCCCACACATGGCACATTGTGGCCCTTGGGGTCAAACATGCCCACCAGCCCGTCATAGCGGCCACCAGCAGCCACACTGCCCATGCTCAGGGGCTCCTCCCCAGCCTGAGCTGGGGACTGCAGCAGTATTGCTTCATAGATCACTCCTGTATAGTAGTCCAGGCCCCGAGCCAGGCTTAAGTCAAAGGAGATCTGTGGGGACAAGGCTATAGTCAGTCCCAAACTAGATTCAGAACCCTGAGAGCCCCAGAGCTCAGCAGGAGGTCCACCTCAACTCAGCTTACCTTTTCAGAGATTCCAAATAAAGTCAGGTATTCAAACAGCAGCTTCAGGTCCTCCAGGCCCTCCAGGGCCTGCTTATTCTGGGATAGTCTGGGATCCTGGAACATTTGCTCTACCAGGGTCACCCCACCTGAGGACACATATGGTCTGTCCTGTTCACACAGATGTATTTCATCCAAATATATCCCTAATGTGCTCTAGCTTCTAGCTAGTCGTCCTCACTTTCTTAAAAGAAGATGATCCTGGCCGGGCGCGGTGGCTCACGCCTGTAATCCTAGCACTCTGGGAGGCCGAGGCGGGCGGATTGCTCAAGGTCAGGAGTTCAAAACCAGCCTGAGCGAGACCCCGTCTCTACCATAAAATAGAAAGAAATTAATTGGCCAACTAATATATATAATATAAAAATCAGCTGGGCATGGTGGCTCGTGCCTGTAGTCCCAGCTACTCGGGAGGCTGAGGCAGGAGGATCGCTTGAGCCCAGGAGTTTGAGGTTGCTGTGAGCTAGGATGATGCCACGGCACTCACTCTAACCTGGGCAAGAAAGCGAGACTCTGTCTCAAAAAAAAAAAAAAAAAAAAAGAAGATGATCCTGGTCTCATGAGACCAGACCCTCCTTCTCTGCCTCCACCTTTGTCATCCTAAGACACAAAGTGGTTAAATAAGTTAAAAGGGAAATTAAATCCTAAGCAGGCTCTGGAGCTTAGCATATCTACAGAAAAGAGGTGTTTCAGAGGTAGAAGTTGAACACATATCACCCACAGCCTGGTTCTATCACAGCTCTGAAAACCCTGGTTCTTACCATGACATTGGATATAATCCCCAATTTGATCAGCCACCTCAGGAGCCAGGCCTTTCTTTGCCACCATCTCATGTCTCACATCTTTCCAAGACATCTGCATAAACACCCAAATATTAGGCCAGCCCCAAGATCCTTCTTTCTCAAACTGGAAAAGGACATCTCACTTTCATTCAGTAAGTATGTCACAAGTACCTAATAGTATACTCAGCAAAGTCAGAGACAACTTAAGAAATCCAGCTATTTCCACAGAGCAAGGTGTTAGTTAAAAAAAGAAAGAAAGAAAGAAATCCAACCACAATCCCCACCATACAGCACAACTCAGATCTTGCTTCAGAATGTCTCCTTACCTTCCTCCCATAAATCGCCCAATTCCAACCACCATCTCCTTACTTTTCTCTAGAGGTTTGGATTTGAGGGCAGGGCAGGAACCTAGATAGAGTCTACTGAAGGATGTCTTCTTTGTTACCTTGTCTAGTTTGTCTATTGAGGAGCCGACAGCACGGAACTTGCTTTCAGGAACACCACAGACAGCAAACATTCCATCCATAATCCGCCGGTCATTGACCTGTGAACTCATTGTAAGTAACCCAAGTGCCCTGTCAATGTCCTTTCCCTCAAAACAATGGCAGTACCTACTCTGCTAACTCATAAAAGGGGCAGAAAGGAAATCTCAAAGGAAGAATACATATGTAGGAAATGCAACAGCTAGACTAAGAAGTTCCTA